AGCATGCTTGGAGGAGCAAACAACAATCCTAAATACTATTGCTGTTTTGAAGCTGTTTTGAATTGGGACAAAAAAATCTCTTATCTCCTGCTTTGGCTTCCCCAGCATAAGCACAACACAGAAAAAACAGTGGAATCTTCTCCGTAAAATATGGGTCTCAGTTGAAATAGCTCATAATCATTCATCTCCAGGGACACACATCCAAGAGCACAGGGAAGTGGTATCTCTTCAGTAAGGAAAACAAGTTCCAATGTTTTTCCATGTTTTTTTCCCTAAGCATTTCCTCAATACCTCAAGTGCTAGCTATTCTTATACCTTTCCCAGCCCACACACACACACACACAAAAAAAGACAAAAAAAAGACGGCAAAATAAAAGCCAAACAAAATACAAGAGGAATTGCCAGGAATGAGGAGTGCCATCTTATTTCCATGTTTCTCTAATAGATTAGTAATTTGTTGGCAGTGGCTTTGACAGAAAACAGATGGATGCAGCATTAAACACAATGAATGCAGCAGATGCTAGGCCAGCCCACATCAGCTGGACGTGTCAGGCAGCCAAGTCCAAGAGCCTACACTTTTCAAGTGGGTACCAGCCTGGCAACAGCAGCTGCACAACACTACTGAACAACTCCTCCCATCCATATCTGAGGGATTTTTTATTCCAAATCCCCCTTGTCAGAGAAGAATTGTACCCAGAGAGATGAGATCTCAAATGCATGAGAAAAACCAAAGCAGTACCTGGAATCAGGATTTTCAAAAAGTGTAATGAAGATAAAATATTAAAAAACCCTACCAGCAACCTGCCAAAGACAGATGTTCATACTTACTGCTAGAATTCTAGTCCTCTTTGTCCAGGCTTGCTGAACAAAGTGCTCTGATATCTTGCCATTTCTAGGCAAGCTGAAAAGGGGGAAATTTGAAAACTACTTTTACTTTTGCTCTGTCCTTTAGAGACATAGGTCAGAGTATTAAAAACAGGATTTAAAATAATTTTAGCATTTTTTACATGTGCATTTAACCATAAAGTTTTTCTTGCACAGACAGATTAAATGTATTGTTCTGAATTCCTCTGAAACTATTTTACCTAGGAGACTTCAGTAGATAGAGTTGATATTTAAGTCTTAACTCCACTGGCTGTTGCATATGTGGGTCTGGATTTGGAAGTCCGGACTCTCAAGATATTTAAGGCACATCATCCTTAAGATGCTACCACTTTAATTAAAATCTAGGATTACAATCAGTGGGGGCTAGATAGTGAAGTGCTTTTGTGAAGCGAGCCCAACATTAAAGGTTACAAAGCAGAAATACTCAATTCTTGTCACTTGAACAAAAACCAAAGCAGGTTTAACTTGCTGTGAAGTTCTAGGGTTGCGATTCAAAAATACTCAGTAGTGGTTTTTCTGTTATACCCAAATACTGATAAACTGAGAAGGAAAGGTTAGGGAGACAGGATACATTTCTCACACATTTTACTGATCCACAGAAGTTTTTCTCTGACCCATTCTTAAAAGACCCAACTGATTACAGTATCTGACTGGTCTCCAGAGTGCATTTAAGGGACATTTTGCTGTGGCAGCAGTTTGATGCTCAGGTCATAGACCAGTGCTTCACTAGCCCCCAAGCTAGATTTTGTCCAAACACAAATCAAAGAGACTGTTTCTTTCAGTAACAACTTCCATTCTTGCTCTGCTTTTTTTATCCCTGGGGACAGGAAAATGCTGGGATCTAATACAAAATTAAATCTAATGTTCTGTACTGCATGCTCCTGTGTTGTATCACAGACAGAAAGAAATGTGGAGCCAAAGCCATTTTTTTTGTGGGAAATCTTTTCACAATATTGGACTAGGTCCCCAGTACAGAACTGCTTCCTGGGAAAATATATTCTGCTCTTATTATAGATTTGAGTGTCATGTAAACACATGAAAACCAAATAAATCAACCATATGCATGAAACGGATAATTTTGCTCTTATGAACTGGGGCCTAATCAAACTAACTGGTTTATTCTTAACAATGGTGAGCAATTTCACCACAGAGAAAGGACACTAGCCCTGAGCAATGGTTTTCAGGATAGCACACAGCATCTAAATCTAGCATCCAAACTAAAAGCTTATTGTCACAGAATGCTTTGACACATATACCAAAATACAAGAAGTAGTCCTGTCAAACTCAGCCTATGCCTAACAATATTCTTGAGGAAGGCCTATGTGAACAAAATATGGGAAGCAAATAATACTCCTGAGAATTGAGTTAAATTATCCAAGAACCCAGTTGCAACCCAAGTAATTTTTAATATATTTGTTATTTTGGCAATAAAAAGAAAATGGGGTAATATTATTATATATTCATCATTGCTGGCATATAATTGTGCTGTGTAAGAGGGTATGACAAGAGTTGCAAATACAAATTACTATCGTTAAAAATGAAAAATGCTATTAAAATTTTAATCCAGGTAAACACACGATTTTGAAATATCACCATCTTCATCCCCAGATTTTATTAACGGTCACATTAGCTTGGTGAAAGCATAGTGTTCTTGTTCTCTAATTGCTACCTGTAGAGCTGAAATTCTGCAGGGCCCTAATTTTATGATGACCAGTGCACAGGATCACCTGTACTCTCCCAGAGCTGGCAGAAGAACACGCTTTTCATCCATCACACTATTCACCAGACCCTTCCGAAATGGCCTGTTAATGACAGTGATGCTCATTTTCTTCCTGCCCCTCAAGTTCACTTTTTAATAGCCGTTTCTTCCTGACCACGACCCATAAAATCATTACATAGGCACTTTCATCTACAGAGGGAGGAAAAGAACTGCTGAACTCAAGCAAAAAAAGAAAGTAGTATTTGGCGTGTTGCTTAAATGCATTGATTTAGTACAAAACCCCTTCCATTCAATCAGTGTGGATGGCTAATGTTTTACTGCTCTTGACACCCACTATTCCCATGGTTCGGAATCTCAGCAGCAGCAGTACAGCTGGAAGTCAGGATAGCACATCATAAATCCACTGGATTTTTACCAGTTAAGCTAGTTGCTCACTGTGCAGATAAAAATAAGCACTTGGACAGCATTTTATGGCCGCAAAATGCTTTCCAAATAACAGGAAAGCACCAGTCAACTGGAGTTAGGTAATTAATCTTCACACATAGCTAAAAGGCATTACTAGCCCCATTTTACAGTTAAGAAAAGAAAAGTAGAGAAACAAATCTACTTGCCTAAGTTGAAAGATCATGTAAAAGGCAGAGTCAAAATCAGAAATTGGGAAATCTTGGCTTGTAGCCCTGTGCTCAGAAAACTACAACAAATACTACCCAGAGATTAAACAGAAAGGGGGACAGTGCAGGGCAGCAAGGCTCCCTGCAAACATCAGAACTAGTCCTCAGAAAGCTCAGAGTTTAAAGTAACCATCCTTGCTAGCATGGGCAAGCCATCGAGCCCTAACAGAATTTCCCATTCCTGGCTTCAGTTCTTTTTGAGGATTTTAAGAAAGACACCAGTAGTATGAAGTGCTGAAATAGGAAAGCTTCTTTATGTACCTCTAAAGAAAATACTGTCCCTTATGTAGGCTGTGCCTTCAGCTTCATTAAGCCTCTACCAAGACATACTTTATAAAGGTTAGCCATAAAAGGCAAAACGACAGAGAAGTTCAAGGCTGTCCAGTGGCAGAAACTGTGTATTCTATTTTTGTTTGTCCTTCCACAATTCTGTCAAACAAGCAAAGTAAGAGGAACTGTCTTAGTCTGAAGAATTAGTTAAGATTCACAAATCGTATGAACTAGAGCTCAATGTTATATTCCCACAGTAGCCACTGTATTATTACGCTTGTTAAGACAACTTCAACCCTCACAGTCACCACACAATTTCAGATTGGCCTTGGAATTTCATCTAAGAAAAGAAGTCCTATTTTGGGATCAGTGTTGTGACCTTATTCCATGCTTGGTCAAATGTAGCCTTGTGTAGACGACATGCTTAGGATCCTAAACAATGGCCCTGGCAATGCAACAGATTCATCATTTCCTTGCCCAATTTAAGGTCATTATTTTTATACAGAGACAGGTGCTAACAATGGAAACAGCTTCTTCTGTAAGATGCAGCTCCATCTCTGGATGACAGTTTTGTTCATTTAGGGCTTTTTTAGGGAGGGCGTTGCGTGTGTTTGGGTTTTTTTTTAAGAAATCACATACTTGCCTACCTATACAATACACATTTATTTTATAAATCTATTTATAAAAATTATCATAGATTATCAGCAAGTATTTTACCTTGTGGTCCATACTGGCTCATCTGAGGCCCATAAGTACCACTTGAATTACTCTGCTGAAAGCTGCTGATTCCAGGATGTACTTGGCCTCCAGGTGAGGGGTGTGGTGACATGGAAGGTCCAGTTTGCTGAGGTCCATACTGTGACATTTGGGGGTTCCTCTGTATGCCTGCCATAAAACCTAAAGGAAAAAATGCCAAAGCAAAAATTAATAGTCAGGAAACTGTTCTTTATTTTAGAAATCTTTGACATTAAAGAAATCTCTGTAGTTATTTTCAGACTAAAGATATCCATAAAACTGCTACAGTACCCACGAACGGAAACAAATGCATCCCCAAGTCAGCAAAGCTGTCTCAACAAACAAAACCTGTATACAAGGCTCAAAAACTTTTACTTTTAAAGGAAGCACAGGGCAGACCTGCTTAGGCACAAATGTATGCTGATTTCAAAATTAAAACCATCTTCAGGAAAAAAAAAAAAAAGGCAATTATCATAAAGGCAATTATCTGCATCCCCTACTTAGTAGGGAATACACCTGATGATTTATGGTGGGAGTATCACAACTTCAAAAATTTTATGGTGCTACCAAAATGCATATATAAATTCAGCCTATAGAAATCCACTGTAAATACTCCTATTGCCTACAAACTCTCCAGGGCTAAAATTTCCCTTTATGTGAAGTCTAGCTATAATGGCCAGAATAAAAAAATAATTTTGGTATGTATTTGTGCTCTAGGTCCTTCTTCTGGTCTGTCCCCTGCACATCTGTATTGCATTCTCTCCTTCTGTAAATGTATTAATGAATCTAAATTTAATTTCAGGTTCAAAAGCTGCCGTAAGAGATCTAGAGAAATGCTATAAAATCTAAAATCTTCATATAAAGGAAAAGAACTAAGCCTATTGAGTGGGAGAAGAAGAGGTTTGTGGCAGGGTTTTTAAAGTTTTCAAGAACTGGGAAAAATCCAGTGATCCTGCCCATGGAATTCCTACACAGGGGTGCTGGTTTTCTAACATTTTACCCTGAACAGGTTCAGTGCTGCTTTTCATGTTGAAGAGGATGTGCTGAGGAGATAGCAAGGTTTCTTTTCGTAATTCTTGAGGAAATGTGATTTTTTTTCTGTTCTGCTTGCATATTAAACTTTTTCTTCACGCTCCCCTGTGAGGTGAAAGACAAGTGCGCTGGACAGTGTTTGCTCTGCTGCCCAGGCACATGGTGCAGCAGGATACACGGGGCCCTGCTGCCCAGCCAGCCAACCTCCACCAGCAACCCTCTGCTCCAGCCCCTCCTGCAACCAGTTTGGGCACTTGCACTTTCAGGCCACAGAAGGTTGATGCATTATTTATGGAAGGGACCTGTTTCTCTTCCTCTCCATTAATTTTAGTGGCGAGTGCATGGGAAGGTGTGAAGTTGAAAGCCAAGAGACACTTCACTCGGCAGCACTAATTACACCTTTCCTTACATGAGGGAGGGAACAGAGGAAAGCAAGAGCAATGCCCCCTGATGGTGAGTGGACAACTGGAAGCTGCTGAAGGGAAGATCAGAAAAAAAGAGAAAAGAGGAGTGAGATGCAAAGACAAGCTGTGAAGACAGACAGAAGCAGGTGACAAAAGCAAAGGTGACAGAAACAAAGGGTCAGACTATTCTCCCAGTCGTTACAATCAAACACCACATAGACCAAATGCTTGATGCCTGATTAATGAAGAGAGGTAATTTTTTCTGAGTCACATATAGACATATGACCAAATTCATGACTGAAAACACTGAGGTGCTATGGCTCCCACAACTAGGTGGCTTAGGGGTCTCACTGTGGGGACCACAGCCCGAGCAAGCACATCCTTAACGGAGAGGAGTAAGTTTCTCATCCTAGCACTGCTGACACAGTAGATGACACTGGGTGAACAACCTTCCTGCCTTTCTGCAGGTTGGCCTCCCTGTTCATACACTGGTGAAAAAGTGCTGTGTGAAGGGGACAGTATGCATGATGCAGAAATGAAAGGTGTACTTTACTAGAGATCAGGCTTGGAGTTTAAACACATGTAAACAGTTTTTTGAGCCAGCCACAAACCTTTACTATATAGTGTATTTATCCATCCATTAAAACTCCATCAGAGAGACAAGCTCAATGCTGCAGGTTGTAAGAAAAAAAACAAAAACAGGACCTGAGATGATCTGCCATCTCCTTGTGCCCAGTTCTTTCATACTATGAACAGCTCAACCCATAAAGTGCTAAAACTCTTAACAGCTGCATGGTTTAGCAGAATATGCACAATTTTCCTGATCTTTGTGAAAGCCCCAAGACAGGGGATTCGATCACACCTGAACTGCAAGTCAGAGCGTGGCACCCACTCCAGAGGGAGCCAAACCACACACGCTGGCATGTGGCATGGCAAATAAGGGTGAAATGGAGGCTTAGAACCTTATCTGTACTTGTTGGAAAAGGAAAGCCTGAGTGACCTTCTCAACTTAGCTTTATTTTGAAACAGACCCCTTGATTTTTAAAGCAGTTCCACTCAGTGCACAAATCTTATTACAAAGCCTATGTCTTCTCTTGACAGTGCTGTAACTAATTTAGAAACCTAATACAATCATATGTCTGTATGAAACAAATGCTTGCATTCTTGACACACATACACCATATATATCACATTTGTGGGATCTATTTAAATGAAAAATTCTGTACTGGTCACATTAAGATTTTTATTATAAAGATAGTGAAGTTACTCCTGTATCTAGTACAGAAGTGAGGGGTTTTTGTTCACCATGGGTATTTTAATCTATATGAGATAACTTTCCAAAGACTGTGTAAGTGATAACATTTTTTCAGTCCAGTTATTATCTCAGTAAAATCTCGCAGTATTTTTCTTAAGACCACAAGGATGGATGACACATTAAAAAGTTATCATTTGTATAGGCTGTTGTGATTTCCAGTGGTGATGCAGAGGGACTGCTGTTTGTTGAATTAAATGGAGAGCATGGACTAATGTCTAATGGAGAACATGGAGAACATCAGTTTTTGCCAGTTCTGTTGCCAGAAGGGCTCCTGAAGGGACTAGAGTAATAAGTGAAATAAATGTTTTCACTCAAATTGACCTCTTCTTGAGGCAACTTCTCCTCATTTGTTTCTGAAGCTGTGGAGTGGACTGCATGGCTATGTGAACAGTCATAAATAAAACATACCAGGACCATTCCCTGGCCTGGAGATCTTTGTGGCATATGTGATGTCCATCCAGCTAAACCTTCTCCCTCAATCCTGATAGTCTTATCTGCACAACTCCTGCGCATAGTCCCTTTTGCTGCCTTATCCATGCCATGGGCCACGGCTCAAGGAGTGCTCACAGGCATGGGCCAAAGTCATGCCATGGGGCACACCAATAATTCAAAAGCAGAGGTAACTGTGTGGTACCACTCAAACTCATGCTCTGGCCATAGTTTACAGAGATGTTGATTAACACAACAAGAATGGAACAGACTGCATAACAGCTTTGGACGTGAGGCATGACCTTCACCATCACAGAGGACCTGAGGTCCCTCTCAGATGAAGTTGGCTTTGCTGACTTCTCTTGAGCATGGACAGGTAAAGAACTAAAGAACAGGAAGCCTGAAATTCAGGAAGAATAGCTGTGCTGCATTATCTTCTATCACTGTCTGTACGGTACACTGAAGCACAGCTTTAAAACAGGACATGCTCCAACTTCATTCCAGAGAGCAGAGAAGTCATTTCAGCTATCAATGTGATGTGGAGAAGGTAAAATCAGGTTCTTACTGTGATCTGGATTCCATTGCAACAGAGTAGTCTGCCCTCATCTACTTCTGTCAGATCCCAGTGAATGTTCAGAGATCAGTGCATGAGTTTCAAGTATTTCAAATATTTGCAGTAAGCTCAGAGAAAAGGGGTTCCTGGTCAAGATGGTAACATTCTTGCATCATAAAGAGAAAACAACATAAATTCTAGAAATCTTATCAGAAATGAAAGGGAGCAGCTGGCATACATTCATTTTTTCTTATTTATACACATTTTCCCCAGTGTTCAACTTCATTTTATAACCAATACAAAAATAAATAAATTTTCTTTCCAGAAAATTAGATCTAAGATAAAGATTGCTTTTGTAAAGAAGGGAAGTAGGATTACATTAGAGCTGCACTGGAGTAAAGGCAGCGGGGTTATTAAACAGCCAGACTGCATCTGACATGTCAACCTCTGTGACAACAAGCTGGGTTTTTTTGTCTTTTAAATAAACCGCTGGGAAAAAGCTACGAGTTAAAACTTTAAAAACTGCAATGGCAACATGCTCATCAGTGAACAAATCTACCTCCTTCCCTTAATATTAGTGATAAAAGAAGTACAGATGCTATTTACTTGCTATCATAACAAGAGATTACTTACTGAAATAACACTGGAGTGGATTTTGGCAAACTAAGCTATTTCAGGAGTAGCTGAATAAAGTGAGCCTGCCAGAAGTACTGCCTTCCTTTTTAGTTATTTTTGATACTACATTTATGTACCTAAAGAATAGCTGTCTTGATTGAAGCCCAATTTAAAGTTGTATATTCATCTTTTCATGTTTTTAGTGGTAAATGAAACACTAGCATACTATTAACAATTAACTATAAATAACTAGCTATAATAAAATATGTTTGCATGTTTAAATAGAACATATATCCAAGGTTTAAAAATGGTCAGGTAGCAGCATATTTTCTTCTTTCAGTTTAGTGGAAAGCTATCTCTTTAGCACTAATCATGAAAAACACCCACCAAATGTGCTGGGTGGTGCTGTAAAATCTGAAATAGATTCTTTATAATAACAAAAGTTTTGTGTTGAATATGAAAAAAACCTTCTCAGGAAAGCAGAAGCTCAAACACAAGGAACTGACTGCAAAGTATCCAGTTATAGCATATCAGCTGATGGACAGCAACTGTCTACTGGCACACACTTAACCCATGGTCAATGAGAGGTCTTTTGATTTAGCCAGGAGCAGTGCATTGATATTCATGAATTAATTAAACCTGAAAGCACGGGAATGCTTACTCATTTTAAGCTCATGAAAACTCTGGAGTTTACAGTGCTAGCAGATCATAATTAAATTACACATATGATAAATAAAAAATGGGGAAAGATACTTGCAACAGTACTTCGCAAAAAAGAACTTAAAAGAACTTAAATAATAAAAGATACATCAGG